AGCTTGGCCAGTCCATGTGGAGAGAGGGGGAAGGGAAGGAGGGCAAGGGAACAAGGGAGAGAGGATAGGAGAGGAGAGGGGGGAGAGAGGGGAGCCAGAGAAAGGTCTATATTGCTGACCCAGGCCTAGATACCGTTTGGGGCATGTATGCCCACTAATTACAGGTAAAGACATACATCACAGGAAGGGGTTACACAGTAATGAGGGGGTGGTCCAGGGACCTACATGCAACAGGACGAGGAGGGACTGGGGTATACATGTGACAAGATGGGTGGATCCCAGATTCAGGACCGCAGCTCAACCTTGACCTGTTCCCTGAGTTTCCATAGGAACCATTACCAGTAGGGTGTAAACTCTGCCTACAGGAGCCTGTCCATTGCCCCCAGAGGCAGAGAGCAGGGCCCACTGCAGTTTGGCAACTGATCGCACTGGGGGGAGGCGGGCAGGGGGGGGGATGCCTGCGCATCTGACTTCCCCCCACAGGTGGCAGCCAAGTACTTATCTATTGTGCTAGCAGGGCACCTTAGTACTCAGATCTCAAAGGTGTATCCACATGGAACAGCCCATAGATTCTACCTTAGCGCTAACCCCAAAGTTGAGACAAATCAAGGCTTCGTCTGAGGTTGAAGGCAGCACAGCAACCCCTGCGTGCAGAACAGAAGGTGCCTCTGCTGTTGCTGTTAGGTGTAGGTGCCATCCGGTGGTCCCAACTCATAGCAACCCTGTGTACAACAGAATACAACACCGCCCAATCCTGTACCAGCCCCACAATTGTTCTCGTGTTTAAGCCCATTGTCGCAGCCACTGTGTCAATCCATCTTGTTGAGAGCCTTCCTCTCTTCAACTGCCCCTCCGCTTTATCAAGCATGAGGTCCTTTTCCAGGGAGCGGTCTCTCTCAACAACACACCCAGAGTATGTGAGACAAGTCTCACTACCCTTGTCTCTAAGGAGCACTCTGGACTTACTTCTCCAAGACAGACTTGTTTGTTCTTCTGGCAGCGCATGGTACTTTCAAGAGTCCTCACTAGCACCATATTTCAAATGCATAGATCCTTCTCAGTTTTCCTCACTCGTCATATAAGCTTTTACATGCATGTGAGGTCAGTGAACATGCCATGGGCTTGGCTCAGATGCACCTTAGTCCTCAAAGAAGCACCCTTGCTTTTCAGCACGTTAAGGAGGTCTTTTGCAGCAGATTTGCCCAATGCAATGCTTCGCTTGATCTCTTGACTGCTGCTTCCATGAGCATTGATTACGAATTGAAGCAAGACAAACTAAATCCTTGACAACTTCAATCTTGTCTCCATTTACCACAATTGTCCAGTTGTGAGGACTTTGGTCTTTACATGGAGCTGCAACCAGATGTGAGGCTGCAATCCTGGATCTTCACCAGCAAGTGCTTTAAGTCCTCGCTTCCAGCAGGCAAGGTTGTGTCCTCTGCACCTAGCAGGTTGCTAACAAGCCTTCCTCCGATTCCGATGCCACACTCTTCTTCATCTAAGTCAGCTTCTCTGATGACTTTTCTCTGCATACAGATTGATACAGAGGATACAGCTCGGATGCACACCTTTCTTGACTTTAAACCGTGCAGTGTTTCCTTGTTCTGTTTGCACACATGCCTCTAGATCCACACACAGGTTCTGCGTGAGCACAAGGAAGTGCTCTGGGATTTACATTCAAGGCTAGCCACCGTTTGTTAGGATCCGCACAGTCAAATGCCTCGGCACAGTCAACAAAACACAAGTAAACACCTTCTGGTTTTCTCTGCTTTGAGCAAAGAGCCATCTGACATCAGCAATGATATCCACTATTTCACATCCTCTTCTGAACCCAGCCTGAACTTCTGCAGCTCTCGCTCAATGAACTGCTATAATCACCACTTGTCGGTTAGCTTGTCATGCTGCAGTGGCTTGCTGCTTTGCAGCGGTGCTGGCAGTTATGTCCCTAGTATTTTAAATAGCAGCAGGGTCACCAAAGTAAACAGATCCCAGCAGAGCTTTCAGACTAAGAACAGATTACAAAGAAGGAATAGGCTTAGAGGATTTAGCCATTGAAAGCCTTATGGATAGCATCGAAAAGCTGCCTCTGGGTGGGTTCAAGTACCCAACCTCTGGCTATTAGTGTTTAACTCTGCAGCACTCAGGGACCCAGGACTCTTCAAAATCCAAAAACACTGTCTCAAGTCGGTTCTGACTTGTGGCGACCCCACAGGATAGCGTCGAACGGCCCCTGGGGGTTTCTGAGATGGCAGCTCTTCACAGGAGCAGAAAGCCTCAGCTCTCTCCCTTGGAACAGCTGCTGGTTTCAAACTGTTGACCTCGTGGTTAGCAGTCCAACACGTAATACACTACATCATCAGGGCCCCATGAATCTTCAAAGAGACACTGACTTCCCTTTCGAACCTCTTTCCATGACCGGGCACAGGACAGGGAGGCCCCTGGCGTCTCAGCACTGGCCCCGGTGCTGAGAAGACCTGATCCTCCTGCAGATCCCGGGGCGAGCAGCAGCCACCGTTGGCGGTGAGGGGCGAGAGAAGGCTCTTTACTGCCATGTGCTTCGCCAGTGCTAGAGCTTTTAAACTTGAATAGCTAAGCCGGGGCCACCTATTCAAGGAGCTCTTCCATTCAAGGAACTATTACTGGCATGACAACAGCTGGTCAACCAGAGGCCTTCTCCAACTCTACAGGAACCTGTCTTTTGCCCGTGTTGTCTGTGGACATTCTCTTTGCTGATAACTTTCCCTGTTTAAGGTCAACTTGCAGTCATCGACAGGGAGCCCCGGGCTGTGAGTTCTACTAGCGGCAAGCAGCTTGCTCTCCAGCACCCACCTACCCCATCAATGGGGTTCCACTGCTCAGCAGAGCAGCTGCCTTGACACCAGTGGCTAAGTCAGTGTGCCTGAGACATGGGGGTGCCCAGTCCGATGTGAGGACGTGGCTCCCTCTTGGTAATAGCGTAAGGCTGAAAGGAGGATAAAGAGCCCAGAAAGTGATTCCATCACCAGAAGGTACTCTCTGTGTAGGAAGCTCAGGTGAGTTGGCGGGAGGGGGTCTTTAGCAGACAAACCAGGTGGCAGAGTAGCACTGCGCTCCATAGGGTTTTCAATGGCTGTCTTTTGAGAAGCAGATCACCAGGTCTTTCTTCTGAGGCACTTCTGGGTAGACTCGAACTTCCGGCCTTTCGGTTAGCAGCCAAGCCCTTAACCATTGGCACCACTCAGGTGCGGTGGTCTGTGACGTATGCAATAGCACGGTGAGAAAGTCTGAGCTATTTCCAACAGAAAACAAGCCAAGGTGGCACACGAAGAAAAAAACAAACGGCCCCGACAGATTTGCCACCGCAACCCCCTGGGTTGGGAGAATGAAGTCTCCTTGCGGTGCCGGAAGTGAAGGGTCATAAGCGAGGTCGGCCTGACACTGCAGGGCGTCCCCAGGTCCCGACGAGTCCGCTCTCACAGCTGCGGCCTAAGTCGGCTCCGATGGAAGTCAGCATTTGCGTTTCCATCACTACTGCCTTTCCCGACTGGTTTCCTCAGAGGCCGGACCTTATCTGGCTTCTGGGGTTGGAAACAGTACAGAGAGGCTTAAATAGGACGACATCAGCAAGTCCGGTGTGGCGATGTTATATGTAATGACTATTACAATAAAGTGTGCAAAAGTCACCCCCAACCAACACAGACCGCCCTAAGTGTGGGTCATTGTCACTAGAATGAGCATGTGTGTGAGCGTGTGCGTGTGTGTTTTATATCTTCCTATATTTCTCTAGAAAACCCTATGACACCTGATGTCCATGTTTGATTCACGTCCAAGATATTATTAAGCACGGATGTCTTCTTTTATTCGTGCACACAGGGTGCACGAATTATCGCCTACAGCAGGAAGGGCTGCCCCTGGCAGGGTCTGCTCCCCCAGAGGCAGGGCAGAGCCAGCCGTGTGCACAGCCACAGGCAAGAGTAGTGGTTCTCAATCTTCCTGATGCCACGACCCTTTCACAAGGTTCTTCATGCTGTCGCGACCCCCAACTATAAAGTTATTTCCGTTACTACTTCATAACTGTAATTTTGCTACCATTACGAACTGGGTGACTCCTGTGAAAGGGCCATTTGACCCCCCAAAGGGGTCACGACCCACAGGTTGAGAACCACTGGTCTAGAGTGACCATGAGGGTGGCGCTGTCAGCCAGGATCTCTTAGCCCCGCCTGCTCTGCCTGGCGCCGGGCACACGGCTCTCTCTAGAGCTACTGCAGGTCCACAGTTGTTCTTGATCTGGGTGGCAAATGACTTGTACCCGACCACTGCTAAGGAGCCCCCGGTGGCATGCATGATTAAGCTCTCAGATACCAGCCCCCAAGGTCAGCAGTTCCAACCCCGCAGAAGCACCGAGGGAGACACCTGGGGATGTGCTTCAGGAAGGGTACAGCCTCTCAAAGGCCCCTGGAGCTCAGCTCTAGCTGCACACCAGGAGGGGGGCTGACTAGATGGCAATGAAAACAGCAGCGAATCCACAGTTTGCTGGTTCGAATCCACCCGGTGGCACCAGAGACAAAACGCTTGGGAAGCCGCCTCCAGAAAGATTTTAAAAAACCAAACTCGCTGCCATCAAGTCAAAGTCGACTCGTCTCCACCCTCGAGGACAGAGTAGGACTGCCCCTGTGGGCTTCTGAGACTGTCACTCTTTATGGGAGTAGAGAGCCCCATCTTTCCTCCACAGGGCGACTGGTGGCTTCGAAGGGCTGACCTCCTGGTTAGCAGCCCAACCCTACAAAGCAGTTCTGCAGTTCCAGTCTCTGACACCCTGATGGGGACCCCTTGGACGGCAGTGAGTTTGGTGTGAAATTTTGGGCGGACTCTCGCCGGACTCCCAAGTGGGACAGAGGAAGCCCAGACTCCGGTGGGTCTATGGCTCCCCCTGCCTTTGACTTTTCCACAGACCCAGGTATTGTTCAGGGGGGAGGCAACACCCCGACCCATCACAGGGCCGCTGAGCGGGAGCCACGTACCAAAGGGGGAGAGCTGCTCCGGGCCGGAGGAGCAGACGCCCACCTCCTGGATCTTTCTGCCGTACGTCGCCGAGTAGATATTGAGAAACTTGGATTCGTGACAGTGCAGCTTCAGCTCCTGGTCTTCGCACACGGTTCTGTTTTTCAATTCATCTGGGGCAGAAACAGAAAGCGGCGGCACCATCAGCTTTCCTCGGAAGAAGCTGGGAGCCTCCCCCAAGTCATGCTGCGGCTGCTCATGGGAAGTGGTCAGTGGGGCCGGTCCTGCTTGTCAGAACATCGCTGACCTTGGGGAACACAGCCCTCTGCGGGCGCGGGTGGGTAGCAGCCTCTCCATTCCGGCACAAGTGGATTGTGCTAAGTGGCAACTGAGGGGAAGTGGCAGGCTTGACACGGCGGGTCATTGGGAGAAGTCCTTGGTGTGGCCTGAGAAACATCCCACCCCCCACCCTCCCACCCTCCCCCCTGCAATTGTGGTCAAACCCCCCTTAATTCAGAGGAGCCTCTTCTCAAACGTTGGCTTGTGGTCCTGGAACTGGCAGGAGCTACCGATTTCGGACACAAAGGCAGAGAAGAGCAATTACTTGGTAAAAGCATTACACTTTACAGAGAGAACCCAGTTACAGCTCCTCACAACTATTCTAGCCTCCTGGCTTACATATTTTAAAAGGGAGAAGTAATATAATCGCAAAAATATTTCCATTTCTAGCAAAGGGGCAAGTACTGGGTCCTTTGTCTGTAAAGAAGCCCCCTGTCGTGGTTACTCGTTGGGCTGCGATCCGCATGATCTGCAGTTTGAAACCACCAGCTGCTCCGAGGGGTAAAGACGTGGCTTTCTACTCCCGTGACCAGTTATACTCTCGGGATCCCACAGGGGTCGCTATGAGTTGGCATCCCTGCATGGCCGTGAGTTTGGTTTTAGTTTTAGGGACACACGAAAAGCGTGTCCCAAACCTGGCCATCTAGGAACATGGATGTCTCAGGCTACAGGGCATTCCAGGAGAGGGCAATCTGAACCTAGCACCAGGTAGAGGGGACGCTCAGTTCCCCCAATGAATTCAGGAAGTGGTTTGTTTCCTTGTTGTTTAACCCGCTTGCCACAGTGAAGTTCTTATTTGCATTGTGAGAGAGTTGGCACTATGTAGGCACTGCCATAGAAAATGAGATTTGTCGTTTGCAACAAGGAGCATTCGACTAACACACATGTACTAATAGCTAGCTCTCTAGACACAAATGATCACATGTTACATGACTCTACTTACAGGACATATCCAGAAAAGGTCAAATCAACAGAGGCAGGAAGTGGATCAGTGACTGCCTAGGGCGTTGCAGTGACAGGACGTAGCTGCCAATGGGCATGAGGGGACTTTTGAGATGATGGAGATGTTCTGTCACCAGACCGCTGATAGCTGCACAACTCCGAAAACAGACTAAAAAGCACTGAACTGCACATTATAAGTAAGTGAATTCTTTGCAACAAAAGTCATGCCTGTTACTAAAACCAGCAAACATATTATAAGCCTGATATAGTATAAGAATGGAAATAAATCAACCAATGGAGGCCTTCTGGGCCGCAATGGTTTGACCCCGTTGTCAGGGGCTCCTGAGTCAGGCTGACTGGGTGACGGCTGACCACCGTAGCTGACCACCGTAGCAGTCCCTCTGTGCCAGGCCCTGTTCAGAGAGCTTCACCCGCAGTGCATTTACACCCTCCACCTAGGGGCAACATGCATGCTGTTTGTTTGTTTGCGTTTTTTAAAAAATGTGTTCACAGGAATCATTGACAGCCTCTGGATTTGAACTCTCGTCTCCCAAGCACCGTGAATGCTTTCCAGCCTGTCATGATCTTAAACTTTTCAAAATGAAAACCAAGCAAAATAGAAAGTGGGCGGTGATCACTGATTTGCATGGTGGGTGGGTGGGGTGGGGAGGATCACCACCTCTCATCCCAGGCTTTTGAAAAGTAAGTCATGAAAAAAACAAGCATCCCCACACGATTACTTTCTACTCTGATGTCTCCCACGTTGACATGGCAACACCTGGCCAAGAGGCACACCTTCGAGCCCGGCAAGCACTAGGGTCAACAGCGAGCTGCAGCTAAGCAGATGGAGCTGCGGGGCAGTTGGACTGCCTGAGGAGGGAAGGAGGGGCAGGGAGGAGGGCTCTGTAGAGGGGAAACATGAATGAACCATCGCCCCCTTTATGTCTCACTGCGTTTTCCGTCCACTCTTCTTTCCTGGCTTGGGGCCGGGCCTGACAGGCAGTCCCAGGTCCCTGATACACCTCAAGTGGTTGTTTTTCAAACAGCGAGACAGGACCCTTAGCAGGTCATGGGAGACATCGCTGGTTCAGTGAGAGGACTTCACCTTCCATATGGGAGTCAGAGTTGACTCGCTGGCAGTGAGTTTGTTTTGAGGTGGCAGATCCAGGCTCACTTCCCGGCCAGGACTCCCGGTGCAAAGCCACCACCCCGGCGTCAGTCTTTCTGTGATGCTGAGCACGTTTTATCAGAGCTTCCCAACTGAGATGGGCAAGGAAGAAACGGCTGGCGATCTCCTTCTGTAAACTAGCCAGTGAATGGTACAGAAAGAGGTCCTGACACAGGGAATCCAGGACGCATAAACCCCTCAGGAACAATAATGGGAGTAGAGGGTAGGGAGAAATTGGGGGAGAAGGAAGAGAAAGGGGGAGCTGATCTCAACGATGGACAGATAAACACCCCCACCCCAACTGAGGGGGATGAACTATAGAAGCATGATGTGAATTATGAAAATAATAATAATTTAGAATTTATCAAGGGGTCACAAGGGTGGAAGGGTGGGGAAGGGAGAGGGGAAAAGAGCAGTTGATACCAAGGGCTCAAGTAGAAAGAAAATGTTTTGAAAATGATGATGGCAACATATGTACAAATGTGCCTGATATAATTGATGTATGGATTGTTAAGAGTCCTAATGATATATATAAATATATATATATATATTTAATTAACCAGTGAAAATACGATGGTTGGCTTTACAATCGCCCCTGGGGTTGGTGCAGGACCAGGCAGTGGCTCGTTTGGTTGAGTCCCGAGCTGGCTGACCCCACGCCAGCTCCCAGCAACAAGGAGGGTCACGTCACGGCATCCAGCCAGTGAGCGGGCGAGCAGCAACGTTTTTAAATTAAAGAGACCAGAACCGTTTAGGAAACATCAAAGTGGGTTTGTTTGGAGAAAGAAGAAACAGTGTTTCGTAATTAAGGGGGGAAAAACAACCCTCTACTTGTTCACACAGGCAGGTGTGTAAAGGGCCCAAATGTAAAAGGTGTTTCTGACTGGGTTGCAATCAAACAACTGCCTTGACCTCAGCCTGACCCGGACGTTGGCGAGTTTGATGCCACCACCGCCGGCGGAGGCACCAGCTTCCCTGAGATGCTAGCCCCCACCTCCCCCTGCACCAAAACGTTGCCGGACTTCAAAGGCCCAGCATGAACGCTGCTCTCTGATACCGAAAAGAGGGTGTGGTGGGCACCCTGAAAGAGCTAGCGCACCCTTCCACACAAGAGCCTGCCGGGAAATGCTAAGAATGGCATCCGGTGGCCAAGCTGGCCAGACAGGAGGGCGGCACGAGACCAAGACGGATCCCAGCAACCCAGACACTTCCTTTTTCCCAAGAATGGCTCCACTCCTCTTCTTTTGGCAGTCAGCATTTTTAAATCAGGAAGATTCGCCGGAAGCGCCGTGAGACCCTTGTTGTCCACATTGCCGTGACTGTTAGGGTGGCCTCTACGCCGGCAACGCCAACTCAGAGTAACACGACCCCGGAGTGCCAGGAGTGCCAGGCGTCCGAGTGCGGTGGCCGGCTTGCTATGGTTTTTACCCCCCACCAGTTTATGGGCTGACCATCTTCTGGCATGTGGGCGGGAGGACCTGTGAGTGTCATACTACTTCACAGGATTACGGTCGTATGTTGAACCTCTTGGCCCCTCGTGTCTTAGTTATAGCAGAAATGCCACCAGCGAGTGACGAACATTAGACATGCATCGTCTCACAGTGAAGAGGCTCAACCCAAGCTCGCTGTCATGGAGTCACTTCCGACACACAGCAACCCTGCAGGACCCAGAAGACCTGCCCCTGTGGTTTCTGACCTGCAGAAAGTCTCACCTTTCTCTGGAGGAGCGGCTGGTAGTCTCAAACGCTGACCTTGTGGGTCAGCCACCCAACACATAACTCACTACGCCACCCGAGCTTCTCTAGTTAGGAGGCTAGAGGTTCAAATTCAGGGCAGCAACTCCAGGGCAGGGGTCTCTCTTTGAGGGGCTCTAGAGGAAGTCTCTGGTGTCTTCGGGCCTTTGACGCCTGGGCAGTCTTCATGTGGTGTGGTGTTCGCGCATCTCTGCTGGCTCCCTTGCTTACTGACTCTTATATTTCAAAAGGGGTTGATGTCAGACACACCCTACACTAACCCTGTCCAAGTAACATAAGGAAGAATCCATCCCAGATACAAACCGTAGCAAATTCATTGTCATCATAGTGACCCTATAGACAGAGGAGAGCTGACCCTGTGAGTTCCTGATGCTGTAAGTCTTTATGGAGCAGAAAGCCTCATCCTTCTCCCACGGAGTGCCTGGTGGGCTTGAACTGATAACCTTGTGGTTAGCAGCCCAATGAGCAACCCTCGTAAGGAAGCCATTCAAGGTGGGCAGTGGGAGTGGTCTCTTCTGCAGTCAGAAGAGTTATCAATATGTTTTGCGGACGTGTGGTGATAGTCTCATTGCAGATAGACATGTGGTCACCTTCATTGGGTTTTCCAGCTCTCTAGAGACAATGCTTCCCGATACTGTGGGCACCCAAGCAGATGACGCCCAACTTCCTCCTCCCACCCTGAAACCAAATCACTCCACCGCCCTCTGCTCAATCCTGACTCACAGCGACCCTCGTGGGTCAGAGGAAGACTGTGCTCCACAGGGCTTTCAAAGGCTGGTTTTTCAGAACCAAATATCCAGGCCTTTTCTCTGAGACCCCTCTGGGTGACTCAACCCAACCACTCTTTGGAGGCCAGCAGAGCAAATGAACTGTTTGCAGCATCCAGTGACGCCCCTCCCACCATGGCCTTGGAAATCCAGGACCATTCAATCCTTCATGTCTTTATGAGAATTGCTTTCATCTGCCTATTGGAAGAACAGCTACCAAACAGGGCTTCCTCTGTGACACACAGGCCAAAGCCCTAACCCAAACCCACTGCCATCGAGGCATAGCGACCCTGTATGGGGTTTCCAAGGCTGTAGAACTTCCTGGGAGCAGAGAGTCTCATCTCTCTCCTGAGGGGTGGCTGAACCTCTGACCTTTCAGTTAGCAGTCCAACGCTTGCCTACTTGACAGTGTATTTTTAGTCTTCACAACAGTCCCCCGAGGAAGGTGCCTTATCTCCATTACACAATTAAGTCTTGGAAACTCCAAAAAATTCCCCAAACAGGACAAGGCCACACAGCAATGACACAGCAGCAAGGGATGTGAGTTGAGAACCCGGGCCTTTCGGAAATAAAAATTCCCTGGAGGAATGAGAACTGGAGAGGTAGCATAGCAAGTGCCAACTGGGGAAAGGCAGGTTCTAGTGAGGTTTGTTGGAGAGCCCTGGTGGCAGAGTGGTTGTGCATTGGGCTGCTGACCACAAGGTCGGCAGTTCGAAACAATCAACCGCTCCAAGGGAGAAATAAGAGGCTTTCTCTGCCTGTAAATTGATAGGGTAGGGTTGAGTCGGAATTGACTGCTTGGAGGTAAGTTTGGAGTTAGGCTTGAGTGAGGTCTGAGGGCGTCTTTGGGGAGGGGCACACGCAGCTAACCACCTTGGCTACTAAGCAGAAGGTTGGAGGTTCACATGCACCCAGAGTCTCTCAGAAGGACGACCACAGAAAGCAGCCACTGAAAGCCGTATGGGCACAGTTCCAGCCCGACCCTCGTGGGATCGCCGGGAGCTGGAACCGACTTCACGACACCTGGCTCGGGGCTTGGGGTTTAGTTTCGACGGCTGGTGAAAGAGCTTTCCAACAAGCCAATCAGCCAGCCACCTTCACAGACCCTGGGGGTTGGACCGTCAACACACCTGTACCGGGAGACACAACCCAACAGACAACACACGGGGAAGCAGCCCCCACCACCACCCCCCACCCCCGCCCACTCCACCCTGACCCCCGCTGTCGAGGGAGGTGGGAAGACGCCAACTGAGAGAGGTCTGAGGTGGTGACCCACGTGGCAAACCTCGTGACCTCCTACAAAGACTTCCTCTGCAAAGGAGAACCGGCTTCTCATTTGGAGCAAACACCGTGGCAGTCTCTACCCCTCCCCTGGCCCTCGCCAATACCCGGAGCCACTGTAACTTCCACTTCCCTCACAGAGGGTGTTTGAAATTCAGAGATTAGTACGGACCAATGTGCTGGGGATCAATATCTCTCTCTCTCTCTCTCTCTCTCTCATACACACACACACACACACACACACACACACACACACACACACACACACACACAC